AACCACCCCCTCAGCACACACACAGAGCCCCACAAAGGACTCCAAGAGCAGGGTGTCTGAGACTTCAAGTCCAGGCTTTACCAAGGGGGAGTTTGGGGGCAGCAGGAGGACCAAGAGACCCCAGGGAGAAAGAGGGCAGAGCATGGGGAAGGGGTTGTTTGGGGGTGCAGGAACAGATAGATGCAAAGAGTCCTGCTGCCCCTCCAGCTGCCCTGTTCTGCTTATCCAGACTGTGCATAGTTCCCAAGCACAGGGCAGAGGCCACTGGGTGGGGCAAGAGAAGCGGCTGCCCAGGCTGGTGAAGAGTCAGGAGGAGCTGAGTGGTCTGAGTCTGTGTGTGCACCGTCGCCTAGTCCATCCCCTGCCTCATGCTCCCCTCTTGGTTCTGTGTCCCTCCCCTGCAGTGTGGACCTGGTCCATGCCCAGATCCACGTGGCTGAGGGCAGGAGCCTGCACGACCTGGGCCTGCGGCAGGAGAACATCCGCATCAATGGCTGTGCCATCCAGTGCCGGGTCACCACCGAGGACCCTGCGCGCAGCTTCCAGCCAGACACAGGCCGCATCGAGGTAGGGCCCATGTTCTGACATTCCGACCAAGCAGCTGTGTGTCTGCCAATGTGAGGACTCTTGGGCCAGACTGCTTTTGAGGGGCATGAAGTGAGGGAGACCCTCTCGGGCTGGTCTGAAGCTGGCTTAGAATAGGGAAGAGCCAGGCTGGTCCACGAGGGAGGAAGGAGCACCCTGGGGAGAGGCTGCCATGTACCCAGGCTGGTAAGCCAGCTGGCAGATCACCAGAACAGGGAGCAGAACAGCTGGTGGAGCCGAAGGCAGGGTCACCAGAGACGAGGCCCAGGACCTGGCCTCTGTTCTCACAGGAGCACAAAGACAGACTGTGCCACTGGCCTCTGTCCTGCCTTCAGAGGGGGCATTGCTGGCAAGGCAGCACCCAAACTGCAGCAAAGGATAGGCCCTGAAGTCCCAGTGGAGGGGCCAAGCTGAGAAAGGGGACCATCAAGTATAAATGAGGGAGTCAGGGAGGTGGCGGAGGGCAGGCTTATGGCAGGAGGTTGAGGTGAGCACAGGCAGGCTCCCTGCACCTGGACCTGCCCCTTCTCTCTTTCCTGTCACATAGAAAGCCATCTCTCGCCCCTCCCCTCGACCCCTTCCATGGCTGAGGGCCTTCTTGGTGCCTCTTCACCGGCCCCACCCATGTGGCTGAGATCACCTGTGGATCCTGGTGTCAGCAGCGCTGTCACTGGCTCTGCTGCTGTACAGCCTCTCCATCGGACCTGCGCCTCCCAGGAAGCAGGACAGGGGCTCAGATTCTGCTCTGAGCTTGGGGAGGAGGGCAAGGGAGAGTCTGAGATAGATCCTGGGCTTCTGAGAAACAAGTGATGGGAGGGAAAGGCGCTGTCGTTGCTAAAAGTTGCATAGAGCTGGTAGGTTCAAGGCAGAGAGCTGCCAGTAGGCTTCTGTTTCTGGAACAATCTGAGTCTATAAATGAGGGCCAGCTCCAAGGCCAGAGTGCTGTCCAGACTTCTCTGCTCTTGGCCAGGAAGGGGCAGCCCTGCGCTGGCCACTGCCTTCCTCCACCTCCCCTTCCAAGGCTTGGCTCCTCCATCCTGGTTTACCACAGAGTATTTTTAGCTCACAGTTCCTGCTCACAGCTGAGTGTTCACCCTTAAATATTTTATTAAGTTCCTTCTTATCAAACACAGGCCTGTGTCCCTTAGAAGTGGGAGCATGGTGCAATGGGTGTCCCAAGCCCCCTGGGCTGTCCCTCCCGCCTCTCGCCCACTTTACCTGTGCCTCCCAGGGTTCTCCCACCTCATTACAGACTTCATGTTTGTGCTGTAGTTACCCCGATACTCTGAACCTCTGCACCCCACCCTGTGGTCCCCTATCCATTAGACTGTGTGTTTGGAGTCCCTGTCTGTCCCCCTGGGTCTGCCTCTCTGCCCAGCGTGCTGTCCTGCTTTCCTCTCTGGGTGTTGGCAGAAATTAAGCAGAACTTCACAAGCCAGAGCTGGGCTTAGCCTGTGGGTGCCCTTATGCCCCTTGTCCAGCCTGGGCATATCTTGACTGGCTTCCAACCCAGTTTGGGACCCCACTCATCTCTCCCTGCAGGTGTTCCGGAGTGGAGAGGGCATGGGCATCCGCCTGGACAACGCTTCCGCCTTCCAGGGAGCTGTCATCTCCCCCCACTACGACTCCCTGCTGGTCAAGGTCATCGCCCACGGCAAAGACCACCCCACAGCTGCCACCAAGATGAGCAGAGCCCTGGCCGAGTTCCGAGTCCGTGGCGTGAAGGTGAGAGGCTGGAGGCCCTGCCTGCCTCCCATCATTCACTCCCCTGCCTCCACCCTTCCCTGCTGCTGCACTTGGTCACTGCTGCTGCCGGGCCTCTCAGCGTCCCTGGGAGTTGGGAGTCAGGAGTCAGCCTGGGCACTAGCCCTCGGCCAGAGTCGAGTCTTGTTCTATGGATCCCACGCATCTCCTGGGTGATATTACCTGGGGAGTGTGTTAGTCCACGTACTACCAGCCTCCCTCCTAGAAATCCTGATCCCACAGGTTTGGGTAGTCACCTCAGTGCCTGAGTTTTGAGCAGCGTTGGGTGCTTCAGGGACAGCCAGGAAAGGAGGCTGCAGCCCAGAGGTGTGAGCACAGGGCAGGAGGAGGCTGGGGACCCGTCCTGAGGGGCTTGCAGTCTGGTGGCGAGGCAAGGGCCCAAAATGCCTGTTGGCCTCTTGGTCAGGATCCCTTACTTGAGTCTGTAGCTAGGGATGAAATCACAGCTGTGTACTATCTGTCCTGAGATCTATGCTGCCATATACCATGGGCATCCCCTGGGTACACGCTGCCACAGATACTGCAGGAGAGGGCTCTGCCCTTAGCGGATTGCGCCTCCCAGCCTCACTGAAGGATGGTCACTGATAGCGGAGGGCACCCTCCCTGCCTGCCTCACATAGGGTGTACAGGTGTGCGGATTGGGCCCCTCTGCTTTACTGTCTCCTCCGCTGCTTCCAGCCCTGCCAGAAGGGGTCAGGCATGTGGGCAGGGCTGTCCTCTCAGCGCCCTGCGTCACTCCTTTCACCTGTTGGCAAGGTCTGTAGTGTTTCCCGACAGGTGCGCCGTGGGTGCAGAAGCCTTTGGGAAAAAGCACGTGGGAGGGAGGGAGGGAGGGAGACAGCCTGTGCCTGGCTGTCTCCCCAGCTGACAAGGAACAGAGGTTCCCAGGTGCTGGGGTGCAGAGGGCTCTGCGCATTTCTATGAGGAGCTTCAGGGCTCCTGGCTAAGGGGATGGTTCATGACTTCATGATGTCATGTGCTCAACCTGCTTTCTCACTGAGGGAGCTTGGTTTTACCAGCATGATGTCCTGGGGCTACTTCCTATACTGGGTGGCCAGTGTGCACTGTGACCCCAGTGGGGGACCCAGCTACACCTCTCTTCACCTGCCTGGACCTATTGTTCTGTCATCCTTGTTGATGACCCCGAGCAGCTCCAGTGGTTGTTGTGCCCCTGGGCCATAGGACCACCTGCCCTTCAGCCTGGAGGGCTCATGAGCACCCAGTGCCTGAGAGCCCTGGAAGCAGAGCTGGGAGACCAGGGCTATGGGGGCTACAAGGAGAGGTGGGAGGCCAGTGCAGGACATGGGTTTCTGGTTCCTGGGGGCACCAGGGTCTTCAAATGTGCACCCAGACTAGGCCACTGGCTCCTACCCCATATGGAGCCTCCGCCAACCCTCCACCTGCTGCCCTGCCTCCCCCTGCTCTCCCTTTCCACAGCCCTGTGCCGCTCTTGCCCTCTGTCCAGGCCCTTGCAGGGCTTGTGCTCCTTTGCTCTTTGCTAAGAACCATGTTTCATTTACTTAAACCAGGATCGTTCTTGGGCTACGTCCAGGTATGTGTTCCAGGCTGGGAGGGCAGGCACACGCATGTCACCACTGCACAAACCCACAAGTGTATGAGCTTGGCCTGCACATGTGTGCACACACTTTACTGTGCCAACTCTCACCTGGCTGCTGTCAGAACCGCCATGGGCCTTACACAGAAATGACACCCCTTTGGTACATGTACTGTGGCTGCCACGGTCCAGGCACCACTGCAGGCCTGGGGCGCCAGCGCCCACCCTTCATGGTGAAGCCCGGGCACCTGCACGTTCTTGAAGCACCTGAGTGCGCTGGGCGCGAGTGGAGAAGCACATGTGCCTGCAAGTATTGTGTTCCGAGTACTATTCCTCCTGGCCAGTGCCCAGGAGCAGTGATTGTTTGGATAGCTGGCAGGGCCCTTGCTCGGGGCCAGAGGAAGCAGAACAAGGCAGCCACCTGGGCATGGCCTGGCAGGCATGAGTGTCCCCGTGTCTAGTAAGGGAGGTTTGACTTAGACTTTCCAGATGAACCCATATCCGAGCACCGGGGTATCAGTGGAGCACCTGGGAGCCGGGAGCTCGCTCAGGGCCTAGCACTGACAGGAGCCTTCCAGAGGGTCTTGGGCAGTGAGATTCCAGGCCTGTCCCAGTCCCTTTGGGATGACATCTTACAAATCTAGAATATGCCCTGGGAGATGGTGACTAGGCCATGGGGACTTTTTTACTGAGTTGTGTTAGCAATGTTGCTGGTCCAGGTCCCTTTGCCCTGGAGGGCTGTGCCATCTCCACCTGTTCCTGTGGCCACTCTGTGCCCTGTAACATCCATGCCACCATGAGGACGTCACATCCTGTCCACGGCCTGCCAGGAAGGGGTGTGCTCTGCATTTACCGATGCAGGCACAGCACAGAGGGCTCTGGCCCCCAGGGCACCAGGCCTGGGCTCACCCGAGTTAGAGGCCACCAGACTGGAGCACTAGACAGTCAGATGGAATAGGAGGCTGAGGGCACCTAGATCTTTTTGGGCTGCCTCCATGGGACTGGCAGTCCCAGCCCTGACTCTGTCCTTTCTGTGTGCCTCCACTGGTCCACTTGTCCCCTCTCCCTCTAGCAGGATGACACTAGAGACCAGCACTGAGGTGTCCCCAACAATTTTATTATAAAGAAAAACAAGACTCCCGCTTGGTGGCTGCAGCCCCTGCCTTGGTGGCGGTGAGCACCTGTCAGAGGGACCTGTCCCCTTATGCCTGTCAGTTGGCCAGAAGCAGGGGAAGGGCCCCCTGTCCTGCCAAGCACAAGGGGGCCTGAGGTACCGAGGGTAAAACTGAGATGGACTCCCAACAGTGCTGACCCACCCAGGCCAGGTGACTGCCTGCCCCGTGCCCTCCACCCTGGGCTGACTCCCTTCCCATCATACCACACTCTCTTCCAACCGCTCCGCACTGCCCCCCATCCCCTGGCACCCTGCCCCGAGCAGTCCCCCGTGCACAGAATGGCTCCGTCGAGCCCAGGCCCCACCTAGGCGCCTGGCATAACCATAGCATCCACTGGTGTCTCCCAGGTCCAGGGAGCAGCTTCGCTGGGGGCGAGGTGGGGGGCTCCGCGGCGGG